TATCGATTAAACCGTTAGTGTTTGTTTAAAAGTAACAAATATACTCCTATAATAAATCAACATATCCATCGAATCTAGTTTAAGTATTGTTTATTTAAATATGAGTAGAACTATGTAGGTATTGTAGGTACAGGATTACGCGATTAGAACACTTCTAAATAAAACACTTTAAATTGGGAAATATATTAATTAATTAATTTACAATATATTTTTAAATACGATTCGACGTTTCAGATTCATTTGCACTAATATATTTCGCATTTTAAACCGTTACAAAGTGTGTTATTAAAAAGAACAAACTGTGTTTAAAATGTTAAGAGCAATGAAGTGATTATTCTTTACTTTTCTTTTTACATAATGTCAACGGTAGACATTGAAACAAAAGCACGTGCAAGAGGAAGCGGAGAAGTGTGTCAATGCCGGCTGACGGCATTTCGGTGTTTTTGACAATTTTTCATTCGTCGCTTACAACTCGGCGTCGACGCGTCGCCTCGCAAATTTATTTTCGTACTAGATTAACCCTTTGCCTAGCAGTTACCTGTCGTTAGCGTATCTTGTTACGATTTAATGGATCTAATAAAATGGTTGTATTTTGCCGACTTAGGGCACGTAGCTCCTCTAAAGATATTAAGTTTCTTTACAGTTTTGAGTTGGTATTTAATTTATTTGTAATGGTTACAAAAACTCTATACGTAAGACAAATTCTATTGTGCGCAAGTAATGATCAATTAACTATATATTTTAATTTAGTTATTTTATAAAACACACCACAGAAAATACATATTAATGAGGATAAATCTTACGTACTAACTTATAAATAAAGGCGACCTCATCGCGGGACTCGAACCCGCATTACATGCAACATCGCGTACTGTTGTTGCTCTAGCATGATTTTCTTACATACATACAAACGTAAGCGGTCATGCGTTGCGAACATGTTAAATATGCGTCATGTTTTTGTTATGAATTCGATTACTTTCGTCCATATTATATAAATAACTTAATAAACGGGTCTAAATAAAGATGTGTATCTTTGTAAAAGACTAAGTTTGAAAACATTAATATTTTCCACATGTTATTGCACATGAAGGCACTATATAATATAAATATAAAATGAATTGAAAAAATTTTCGACTCGGGCAGGACTTGAACCGGCATCGTCAGCTTTCCGTGCTGTTGCTCTGTTGAAAGCTGACGATGCCGGTTCAAGTCGTGCCCGAGTCGAAAATTTTTTCAATTTATTTTCGATTTTTTAATTATATAAAGACTAAGTTGAAAATGAGCTCACAGCTAAAGCATCCAATACACAGAAACTCCGCTAAATTTATCCTGCCGTTTCACCTGGTCCCGCCAGGAAGTCGCTACTGTGCAATTAGAGGTGTTTGACCCAATAATGGAGGCATGATGTCATACTTATTATGGTGGCTTGTTAAATACGTTATCTATCCTACCATACTTATATACGAGGCTGCTAGAGACAGAGTGGCCTAATTACAAAAAAACATGATTTTTTTAATAAGGAGGAAAATAAAAATGCGCTATGAACTTAGGCGAAAGAGAATTTGTCCCATTATTTGTTTAAGAATTATGTTAACAATTTTCGGTTACTGTGCTCTTGTAGATTAACGTTTTTAGATTATAAAAATATAAATAAATCAAGTCATAAACTTGCAATTAGGATACTCTGCCTATATGTCCGATTTTCCGTATTCCGTAAGCATAATTAGCTCATCTATTTCCCATTATTAACATCAAACAAATGTGTTGACTTATATTAAATTACACTGGATTTTTAGGTATGCATTGTAAACTGTTAGACGGCAGTAAATGATATGTGTATCTTTTAGGTTTGTATGTATTTAACGGCTAAACCTTTTTACAGAATGTACAATTTTAAAAGAAAAATCTATGTCTGTCTTTAGCGCCTGGGGGGGAGTGTGCGGGTTTGTGTGAAGGTGAAACCCTCAAATATGAATAAAATTCTCCGTTGTTTCTCGCTACTATTGGTCACAGTTTGATATTTTATAGCCTTCCTCCATAAACGCCAAAACAGTTCGAAACGATTTTTTCAATTCGAATCAGTATTTCCTAAGATTAGAACATACAAACAAACTCATCAGCTTTATAATTAGTATAATTCGCAAATTTGTGAATCGCATCTCATTCCTTTTCCTTCACTTTGGTTTCGTGCTGTCTCGCTATTGTGCTCGTGAAGCTATAAATATACATAACTCATTAAGTATTGCCCTTGGATATTAATCTTAAGATGACGCCTCAACGATATTTTCCCGCCCAGAAGAAAAATATTGCGAGAGGAAATTAAAAGGGAAAAATTCGTGAGATACATTGCGTTCCGCGGGTACCGAGTGGACTAAATTGAATGAATATATAGATCCCTTTTTTGAATAGTGTGGGTTATAGTGGGCGCGATGTTTTTAATTATGTAATAAAATTGGAAAATTATATACAAACCTCTTCTAGCTAATGAGTCTAAAAAAATAAGGTGGTAGTACAAAATAACCATCTTAGGCTTCCAAGATTTTCTTTCTGATATAATAGTTATCTATAAGATAATACAATACGGCCGATATAACTTGGCAGTCCTGATCTAAGCGCGAAACGCTGCGCAGAAACGTTCCTTAGGATGTTAACGGTGGTAAAAGCGAGGGGCGCGGGACGAAGATCTAGGCTAGTAATTGACTCAATGTCAACATAATCAACCGCTTATTCTATCAAATTTTGTAATCGATTTTTGTCGATTTAGATTGTGGATTTTAAATCGTATGAGATATTGTACTAAATAGATGGATGAACACAGTGAATGGTGTTGGTAATAAACAATAGCAAGATTACCTTTAAAGGAAAATAAAATCATTAAAAACTTTTTCATTATTGAAATACCTAATTTAGTTAAATATGAGTTATTATTTATATAATTACTATTTATATCTTCTTGAGGGCTTTTTATAAAATTATATTTTTACGATCTAATTTTATCAATTTCAATAGGAATCGATTAAACGACACTCTTAAGGATAGCGTACATCTTTATTTGGTTCTGTCGTGAAGCTTCGTACATATTCGGTAATGTTCGGTAAACAGTAGAGCGCAGTCCGTTAGAAAAGTGATTACTTATTGTTAAATTTAATATTATTATTCCCCTTTTGTTATATTTTTGTTTTGTCTCTGTATTTTAGTGAAAGATAAGTGTTCGTAGCCCTTATTCTCTTTGAATCAATTATTGGTATGTTACTTTTGCTTGCTATAGATAAAATTTTTCATTTACCCCAGTAATCAAAATGAATGGCAGTATTAGTTTTCTTTACGAGTGTACATGCGCCAAAGTTAGTCTAAGCTCTGTTCAGAGCTGTCTTCCGTATTATACATGTGGATATCATGTCTTGCAAATATCGCTGGAGAGTTAAAACAAGGGTATATTGGACATTTACAAAATTAATTTCGTCTGTTACACACGCTCAATGAGTTTTGTAAAACAAATTGAGGTAAATTGTCCTACACTTCAATTTTGATATATATATCATGTTAAAAATAAAAAAAGTACTCCGAAGTCAGTTGTTATATAAAATCCTTTTATAACTGAAGAATATTAATTGTGTTAAAAGATTTATCTATTTCAACAAAGCTGTTAATGGAGCGCTTTTTTAGAAAAAAACAAAACCGACACACAACAAAAGGTCGGCGCAGTTTTTCTCCAAATAAAAACCATCTATCAATAAACGTTTAGCAAATCACTTGTATTCTCTCGTTACACCTTAACGAACAATCTTTTATACCTTTTCATCAGTACGAGTTCTTTATTTTTGCCCTTCTCACGCTCAAATAGACTTCGATAAAGAGGACGCTATTGTCGATTAACAAACAATTTCCTTTACACAATACGTTTCTCAGTAGATTAATCTTTAGTCTATTGTATTAGTTTCAGAAAATGTATCTCTTATATATTATTGGAATTTTCAATTACAACATTATTAGCCTGATATCCCGTTTTACACGAGACAAATTTCTGTGTCCGTTTCATTGATCGATTTAAATTTACAAGTTAAAGTAGTTATTAAATCTCGAGTTTAAGTCTAAGTTTGATTCTATATAAACAACGAATGTGAAGTAAAGTCATAAACTTTATTTATTTAATAATAATGGTAGTAGAAAAATTAAAAACAAAAGCAATTTAAAAGTTGCGTGAGTATAAATTAATATATAATACCCATTATAAAATTTATTCCAAATTCAAAAAATAATGTTCCACACTTGCTCTCTTTAAATGGCGTGTTACAAGACGATTTAAAATGAGAAACCAACGAGCCCCATATAAAGGGCGTATTAACACAAAATAAAACTAAAACTACGCCTCAATAAATATGATTAACATTGAATGAGGTACGAAGTTGTTGAACCTCGATGGTCGCTTATTTGACCTGCGAAACATTTCCTGTCATTGTAAGTCTGGAACGGGCGCCTAAATGAGACGGTTTCCCCATATGGGGCGTACAGGCAGACGGCTGTGTGATGTGAATTTACGAGCGATGCCCTACGCGATGTCTGTTATATATGTAAGCACTGTGTCTTATCTAAAACCTACATTTGTGTAGAATATATTGAATATATTCTACACAAATGTAGTCTGCAAAGCTGTACTTATTTTTTTCAATTAGAATTAGTAGTACATATTTAAATAAAACACTTTAACGGTTAAAAACTCTATATGTATTAGTTAAACTTATTTGAAAATTATTTTTAACTTTGACCCGACGTTTCGGATGTTTTGCAGCAGCCGTGATGTGCAAAGCACCGTTAAAATGTTTTATTTAAATGTGTAGTACACATTGAAAAATCGCGTTAATTACAGACAGTATTCGTATCATAGTAATGAAATACAGTAAAGATTAAAAATTGGGGAAAAAAAATAAGGCCTTGAACATAATATACCATTATTGCTGTATTTTAACACTTAAAATTAATTGTTTTTTTTTTGTCAACAGGGCAGTAACGGACCCTCGTGATGGGCGGCGCGTGGCCCTCAAGAAGCTGCCCAACGTGTTCCAGTCGCTCGTCTCATCAAAGCGCGTCTTTCGCGAGCTCAAAATGCTGTGCTTCTTCAAACATGAAAACGTATGTTAAACATCGTTATCTATCATCTAGTGATAACCATTTTTCGATGTCGTACTCAATTCTTGACAGTGTAGGATAAGGGACAAAATTGTTAGAACTGACCGTCGTTCGAATTCAGCTGAAACGATTTTATATAGTTATATGTCTGGCGTTATTTTATATAGCCTATGTAGGACACTAAAAATTTCAAGTAGGTAAATAAAGACGCTTATAAGTATAATTCATTTCGCGCTATAGACCAGTTGACATGGAGATACCCGCGGGCGTCGCTATTTGTCCATTTCAATACATACTCTATCGATCATTGAATCGTTTGCGGTGGTCGTGCATTTGTCGTTGCGAACAAATTGCTAACAAATATTGGCCTACTCCGTAATTGTATTTTAAAGGACGGATTAATGAATTTGCAAATACGCAAGGTTTTGAGAAACGAAAAAGGTCTCCTGTCTTGGAATTGAACAGTGGTCAGATTAGTTAAGTTCTTGAATGGATTATAGTATATAATTTTTAGTAGAGTAGAGTTTCGTCGATAATAAAACTGTATTAAATTCACTTTTATTGGACAATGCCTGTAAGGTCACAGATAGATAATAAATAAACACAAATATCTCGCAAATTATGTAAAATTTCTACGAAAGTACTAACGGAATTCAATGAGAATATTGGATCTATTTATTGAAATTACCAGACACACACACACACACACACCCCCCGGCCACTGGATAGTGTACATTAAGACCCTTTTGCTACATATATAATCTGCACTACTCTTTGCATCCCAATGCGTATTGTATTTCCAGAGTAAGTCGACAGGATTTGCATCGGTGAAAATTGGATGATTGTGTGCGTGCTAGTTGCGTCTGAATTGTGACGCTAAGTGCCCTGTCAATGCCACGAATCGGGAGCGTGGGATATATCCGGAATAGAGTTTCCGAATGTTAGCCGATTTCGTTCATCGCGAAATAATCGCTTTCACGCGATAATTGCGTTTCTCTAATCATCTGTGTCAAAGGACAGATTAAAGCACACAAACATGAGAAATATACAACACAATAATACAAACCGCTAATCTATAAGATTAAAGTAGAAACAAGATTAACTTGAAAAGTGTTATGCCGCCGCCCTATAACATATACTTAAGATGCGCTATCGACCCTTATTAACTTTAAAACTTTCGTTAATTCGGACCTTCGATATTCCTACAGCTAGAAGTGTTTAAAATCGAACCACCCAAAGAAATGTACCTCTGGAACAACGATCCTGGTTAGACAAAACTTACCTAAACACGAATAAAGCCTTTTATTTATCTACACAATACTTTGTTTGAAGGAAACAAAAGTTTAATATAGCCAAGTATTGTTAATTAGATTACGCAAAGGGCGTTGGTAAATATTAAAGTGGTGGGTTTTTTCTCGTAAGTAATTACCATAATTTGTCCACATTAGCTGTGGCATCAATGACGTATCATTGGCGCTAGAAAGGGGTCACAGTCGTGGTCTATTCAAGAACTTTTAAGTTAATTTTGATAACACTAAATACAAATAAAGTAGTAAAATAGGTATTTTATGACTATTACTATTTCTTTTATATTATATTAGTTAAACTTATTTGGAAATGATTTTTAACTTCGGCCCGACGTTTCGGATGCTTTGCAGCAGCCGTGGTCACGGGGAGACTGCTAGACTAATATATCGCGTTTTAAACCGTTAAAGTGTTTTATCTAAATGTGTACTACTCGCGTAAACTATAGACAGTATCACTATTTCATCAAATAGTGGTCCACCTAAAGCCTAGAACCAGCTAGGAATAACCATGTCTTTTAAAACTCTAAGCCCTATTTAACGCTTCGTTTTGATTCGAAGCTAACGCAAACCGAAACCTTTTAATTATTCAATTTGTTGCCTCTGTAATAAATAACTCTTGCAATTACATTTCAGTGGAAAACTTAATTTTGAGCTTTGTATTCGAGTCGTGCAAAGTGAATGATTAATCGTTCCGAGAACGACTAGAGTTCTGCTCGAAGCAGTTATTTAAAAAGTTATAAGGCTAGGGTTTAATCTGGCTGGCTGGTCCATTTATAGCGACTATAACGAAAAATGCCGTGGAATATCATAAACCGTCTATGTTAATTTATAAGGATAATTAATGTTTTAGACTACCTGTGTCAGCGATTTTGTCCGATTATAATTTTCAGCGTCCAAATGACGAAACGTCCCGTCGTTGCGAGTCAATCTTAAAAGATAGAATACATACTGTCGACGACAATTATTAAGATAGTTTCAAGAGATAATCATTCTTTCATACATGTTGTATTGGTATCTTAAAACGTTTTTTGAAAACAACATTTGACACAGACGTGAACCGGTGACCACAGCGATCCGCGCTGCGGCTCTAACTAATTGATTTACCGTGTCTAGCTCAGCTTACGAAGTTTTCAAGCCTGATAAGTACATCCATCTTTCGCGCAAAATAATTTCTAACTTAAAACTTACACGTTGGGATTGTTTTTGTTAACTTATTTTTATCGGTGTTATCGCACACGATGGCACTATATATAAACTAAAAATTAATTTATATTAAAAAATATATGACACGCTTGAGACTTGAACCAACGGCCGCAACGTTTCGTTCCATCCGTCAACTGAACCATTGTAAAACGCTCGTCCATGAGGACAAACGATTTTGTACACTTAAATATTTTTTTAGAATTTAACGTAATAAAATAAAAGTAAGAATGGTTCAAATTTTGTGTGAATCGAGATTTTAATGAATAAAGCAAAATATTACGACTACCAACACCAAAAATGAAACTGTACATTGTGTTAAGAAAAGAGTGGCAAATATTAGAAATATATAAAAAAAACCTTCAAAAATACAGCGACCCAAAGTCATTTTCTTTTTTCCATTTCCTTGTTTTATTAAACTCCTTAAAATAAACCAAAGTTTTATACTCCTCTGCTTATTGGAACTTACTGCGTGTTATATTGTAAAAAGTTTCGACCTTAATTTTGCATGCAAACCAGCGAACAATACTATGATAGGATAGTTAATATTCAGAGGAGGCACTAGAATTGAACGGGGTATCGTCTCTGGATAACTATTGTAGAAGTAATTTAGTATTCGTGTTTTAGGATTTTGTTAGTATCAGGTCTGCTAAAGAAAAACATCTGAATATATTTGGCCAAAGAAGAATAATACGAAATTGTTATGGATGACAATGACATACCTATGTCATTGGATATGAAAAAAGTTGAGAAATACCTATTTCTGATAATTAATGTCTCAATCCGTCGAAAACTGATCCAAACACCGTACCTTATAATTACAATTTTAAATAATTAAAAATCAAAAGTATTTAGATTGAAAAAAAAAAAACTTGCCACGTTACCTCTAACCAATCGAACTACCGTGTCATTGTTATTGGTTAGAGCAACTGTACGGATCGATGTGGATGCCGGTTCAAGACCTGGTCGGGTCGCTAAATGTTTTCTATCTAAAATCGTTTTTTAATTTAAATAATGCTATCATTTGCAAAATAACAATTTCTAAGAAGTCTAGTTTTTTCAGGTACTGTCGGCGCTAGACATCCTTCAGCCGCCAAGCCTCGACTTCTTCCAAGAAATGTATCCTTTTACATCTAGGTAGTAAGAATTCTAGGTCGTTTCAAGTTTAAGTGGTGCATTGACCCCACTAGCGGTTGGAGGCGGGTGAGTCCCGTTGTTCCTGCTTGTTTTATCTTCTATAGTATTCTGTTGTCCTGGTACCGACGCGATGTTTGCGATAACGCTTGTGTGAAAACGAGCTATAAACGGTGTTTTCTCATGCGAATTGACTTCATGGTAAGGCTTCAAATATACTCATGCGGTATTTTTAGGTACTTTATATGTATAAAGGTACCCATAAGTCCATGAACCTCCATGGCATGTTGGCTAGACGCGTTGTAATAAAAGAAATGCCGGGAAAATATAATAGTAACTAAGTACTTGCCTTTCAGAAATTAACGCAATTATCTGCTCATTTCCCACAATGGGGATTAAACATAACATAGGACAGTTGTATACAGAAAGACAAACGTGAATTTGAGTTAATAAAATTACACACTTATTTTTTATAATTATTTAACGTGGTGTACATTCATAAACTCCGCCTTTGTTTTACAATAGTTGATCTGGCATATTTTGTTAATAGCAAGATATAACGTTGATAGAATAGAGTTCTATCAACTAAAAAAGCTATTGTTCAACTTACTGTATCCACTAAGTAACAAATATTTTTTATTACCAATTGTAATATTAATTTCGGCCAAATTTGATTACCATATCTCTTGCGAGTTTATCTTAGAAGGTACACTGTCTCGGACATTTTTTAGATCATTCTTGCATATTTGTTGGTTTCTGGAACGCTATTTGTAGTGTAAGCAACGATCAATTTCTTCGCTCTTATTAATTGGAGATGTTGTAGAGTCTTGCTCTATGCATGGTCTACCTATGACTAAAAACTTTTTTTAAGATTAGAGCGTTTTAACAAGCTCTTCAGCTTTATATTAGTATAGATTACTAAAATTAAGAAGTATTTTACCTATAGTAGAAGATCAGGCATTTCTCATATTAATTTGATGTCCATCTTTATAATCTTAATACATAATTTTCTTCGATAAATCATAATAATTAAAGCCGTCCATCGCACCGCCGAATATGACTCAGAGGAGATAAGTTATCTGGTCGACAGGCAGGTAGTTTTAGCACGTATTCGCATTCAACGAGTTACGGCTATTCAATGATCGTGGGAACGGGAAGTTGCTTTTGGGTTTTCGATTACAATTATTAACTTTAAATTTGATGAGGCCGTAAAATATTTAATCAAGAATCGTGTAAGTTTACGCGAGTAGAACCCATTTCGATAAAATATTTTTAACGATTTATAACGTTAAAATATATAAGCCGTTGTCACTGAAGTCTTGACTAATATATTTCGCGGTTTAAACCGTCAAAAGTGTTTATGTATATAATGTTATCTTATAACTGTACTTACTATATGTGTACTAAAATTAGGTTCGTTTTAGTATTTTTTACACAATTTTTAGCGTACAAATGTTGTTTTTCATTTACTATTTTATTTTTATTAGGTCGTTAAAATATATTAACGCGTTATTATTTTTAAGTTTTACATGTATACTCTTCTCTCTCTACTTAAAAAAAAACAAACAAACAAACAAATACAAACTTAATCGCGGTTTTGAATCCCTGTTTGATAGATACTTTCAATTCTAAATTAAATTTCACTAAATTCTTCCCCACAACATCCATTAAACGAACGAACGCTGACTCAGTGTATCTTTGTGTTCGTCTAAATATACAAGTGGTAATGACACACAAGGACAACGGAGTGATCGAGTTGGCTCCGGGGACGTTTTCCTGCCTCCCGCTTTTAGGCGCGTCTTTGTTCGTTCCGGCTTAGCCTTGAGGAATATTTGCTTTCTGACGTTCGTAGTATTTTCAGTCTTTGTCCTGCAGTTTTGCGTGGATCTCAGACATTGTTTATATATAGCAACAATTTAATAACACTCATATGTGTCTAGTTAGAAAATCTGGTTCCGGTACCCATTTAGAAGCACTGTGACACACTAAGAACACGTTTTGGTGAATGACCGGGGATCAGTCTACCGTATAATATATCATGAATCCATCTATATGCTATAGGCGTTTGGTACTTAAAATGGTCAAGCATGGATGGGCCTCCAAACTGTTATCTTTACAATTGTCTTAATTTTGTCGTGAAATATACTACGAATTTAAATAAAACATTTTAAACACTTTAACGGTGTCAAACGTGAAATATTGAATTACGTACATCCGAAATGTCTCGTCGTAGTTAAAAAATAATTTGTAAACCAGTTAAACGCGTAAACTACAGACAGTATTCAATTACTAAGAACAGTTGTCGTAAATAATAATTACACTATTGTATTTGCATTATTGCGATGATTGGCTGTTTATTCTTTTGAATTCATCTTTATTATTAAGCTTCGTTTGGAATTCAAATAAATCCTAAATCGATTTTAAATGTAAACATTGGTCGTGCGTGTTTCAACGTTGTATTAAAATATTTGCGTATCGCGTTTTTATCTATGTAATTGGACATTCTCGCTGTCACTGTCACTCAACAAATAACTGTCAAACGAAAAAGACATGCAACATTGAAAAATCTCGTTCGTTTATTTACAATTTCACAGTGAAGGGATCAAACAGCGTTTCAGCACTTACATGCCATTTTTCGCCGCCGGCCACGAGTGACGTCATACTTTCGACAGAACCTCGATTTATTACTTTCATCGGACGTGGGCCGTTATCGGCTTATTCAATAGATATTTGCATTCGACCGATAGTTTCGGATGCGTTTTTTTCTATTGGTACCATTGTCCGAGCATCAATTTACAATAACACTAAGAATGAAGACTTAAAATTTTATTGAAATTAAAGTGAATTTTTCTTTAATATGTATTTGATTAGCGAAAACCCGTTATGCTTCACAAAATGGCTTTTCGCTTGCGTCACGACAATAATATATTAATGATAATGTTTGAAAATACATACTTTTTCAAACTACTCGTCAAACATTTTAAGTACACAAAGCAAATTAATAATAAGCACATTAGCTTAAAGCAATTTATTTTTCTTGACAACATTTAGCAAATGATTTTTTAAAAATTAAGTTGTAATTTTAATTTCCTATAATGAAATGGTTTTGTTTTGTGAAATCCCGATTTCCATCGACCGTTTTACTGATCGGTTTTTAGTTACAGGCAAGTGGTTTATCAGACTTCATGCCCGACCGGAACAATTTATTGTTTCCCCGGAATGCGAACCCAGGACCTCTCGCGCAACTCAATGCTGGGCAACACGTTTAACCATTTACCTACAGAGGCGGTCGGATGATTAATGAAATGTAACAAAGCCTTATTGTTATCAAGACAATAAGACAACGAAAAGTTTTAACTCATTCTTCGCGTTAAATTATAGTGTATAGCTATAGCTGTTGCGAAATAAAAGCGAATAAAAGAAAAAAAATTTAAACATATACTTCAATTTCCCTCCCCGAGGCGTAAGCGTCAGCTGTTCGACATCGGCCCTACTATTGTCTCCCTTTTACGTCGTTTCAAAAACCACTCGTGTCCCACATCCTATAATTATTTTGCAAACGCCCTTTGAAACATGTGATTTATTTATAAAGAAATTGAAACTTTTTCAGGAAACCACAATGCTTTTGACTTATCATAAGCTGATCAGCTACTAGCCTGTAAAATAATTGATCAATGAAACGGACGCAGAAATGTTTATTCGAAATCGGGATATCACTCACAAAACGAATTCAGGCATAAAGAGGTTTTACTTTTACCACATATGTTAAGCAGACTGTTATTTTGTGCCGTACAAATTTCATGACAAATAATAATAACTACAGGTAGTCTTAAGACATACATGAAAAGTCGCCATAAATCTCGAGTTTTAATAAGGGCTCACGGAGGAACAAAGCGATGACTAACAAATCATTTTTCGCGACGATTGTTTCATTTTGGACATATTAACGAGCGAAATAATTTATGACCTGTTAAACGCGAGTTTATTATGACTCCAGAAGTAAACAATGTGTTTAGTTTTTAGTCATTCGCATACAACTTGTAAAATCTAAATTTAGAGTATATGTGTTATTCAAACGTTACTACGTTCCATATAATTCCTTTAGATACCCGAGTGTTAAGGTTGAAATTACTTAATAAAGGTAATTAAAAATTAGACGATGGCATGTAGGACTCAGTAGCTAAATTGGTTTGAGCAATAGAACGCTGCGGATGCCCGTTCAAGCCTGGCCATGTCGTATTTTTTTTCAATCTAATCGTTTTATATTTTATTTTGCATCAATTTAAAATTTAATGTAATAAAAAAGATCGATGACACATTGACGGGACTCGAACCCACTACCAAATTGCTTTTGCGCTTCCACTAATTGTATTAACATTGTATATAAATACATACATTATATATGTAATAAGACATTTAAAAAAATTACATCAAAAACTTTATTTTGAAGTTCCTATTATGAATATATTTTTATTATTGTGAAGTTAACAGTTCAAATAATAAAATGTTTATATATTTTCGGTTCCCATATCATGTTTCCTTGGAAAAACATTCTTCGTTGGAAAGCGTATGAAAATGTATTTGTATGAGTTTAATGTTTATGAATTTGTGTTTGTGAACGTAACTGGTATTGATGTTTATCGTTTTATTTACATTCCGCTGATCACGTTATAATAGAAAGCAATTTATTTACCACCAGCTGATGTTTGTGACTCTGTGGTTAATTGTTTTTCCATTTCATCAATATCATATTCTCATCACGTCTTAAGACATACAGAACATTTTTGGATCGTATTTTCAAAACATTAATAGAAGTGACCATCAATATATAGTCATTTTTCAGTCCCGTAAAGATAATTTATTCCGTCTGCAAATTCGTTTCAAAAATTTCAATTTATTTAAGTATTGACGCGGGCGACGCTAGCTATAGATAATATCATAATCAACACTAACTAGGGTTCGTTTTCCGTGGTGGTTAACACAAC